GAGTGTATGTGTGTGTATGTGTGTGCGCCTGTACGTGTGTGTGTGTGTGTCCATGTGTGTGCCTGTGTGTGTGTGTGTATGTGTGTGTGTGCCTTTCTGTGTGTGCCTCTGTGTGTGTGTGTGTGTTTTATGGGCAGGTAAAACGCCTGTGCGGCCGGAGCCGTGGGGGCCTGAGGGGGATGGCTTTGTGGATTTGTTGCGCCGCTTTGTTTGGGGAGGATGTGGTGTATGATGAGTATGGAAGAGGATTAACCCCCGCCAGCCAATACATAAAAATAAACATAAAAATATTATATAAAAAAATGAAACGGGAACAAAACAAAAATAATTAAGTCGTCTCAGCCTCTTTTTGACGCATTTTTATGAAGTTGATTATATGGAAGAGGTTGAAACAGCTGCCCTGGGGGCTGTTGAAGCATTTGCCGGTGGTGCTGAATATCGCCCAACAGCCACCTGAACCTGACCCTCGGGGTAACCCCCCCCACACACACACACCACCTTTTTAACGGCCACGACCTCCTTTCCCTTCCCGGCCATTCTTTACGACATTCATTTGTGGCGCCGCTGTAACTGCCAACGACCAACCGTCAACAGACTTACGAGTCCGCGCGGTCGCTGGCGCAGCATCTGGGCAAGAGCGTGTGCGTGTCAATGGACCGGCCGGTGGGTTGGTTGTTGGTTGATTGTTGGGAGCGATTGGTTGTTGTGTAAGTTCGTTCGTTATGCACCGGCTACGCGGCCCGTGTGCTCTGGGGGGTCTTTCTTCCGTTTGCGCCGAAATGACACTGACGGCAGTAAAGGGTGTGGGGGGAAAGACGGTGTGTGGGGGTGTGGGGGGATGGTGTGTGTGTGGGGGGGGGATGGGGTGTGGGTGGGTGGGGTGTGGGTGTGGGTGTGGGTGTGTGGGTGGTGTGGGGGGCGGCCGAGGGATGTGTAAGGGGCCCGGGGCCGCGGAAGAGCTAATTGGTTGGTTGGTTGGTAGTTTGTACGTGTTGTCCGGCGGTTAATCTTTTGTTGCTTGCACGTCTGTCAGACATGATTTCCCTTCCCCCATCCACCACCCACCCACCGACCCTGCCTTTTCTCCCTTATTCCCTTATTCCCTCCCCCCTGCCCCTTCCCACCTTCCTTCCCTGCACACACACACACACACACACACACACACACACACACACACACCTAAACAGGGTTTCCTGGTGTATCGTCTGTTGATGCCCCTCATCAACGAGGCGTTCTTCCTGCTCAGTGAGGGTGTGGGTACGGCAGAGGACATCGACCGGTCCATGCGGCTGGGAACCAACATGCAGTCTGGACCGCTAAGGACGGCGGACAACATCGGTGAGGGCGGGGAGGGAAGGGGGGGAGGGGGGGAGGGAAGCGAGGAAGGAGGGAAGGAGGGGAGGAAGGAGGGGAGGAAGGAGGGGAGGAGGGAAGCGAGGAGGGAAGCGAGGAGGGAAGCGAGGAGGGAGGGGAGGAGGGAAGCGAGGAGGGCGGGCCTGGTTTCCTTCCCCCTCCCCCCCTCGCCTCACTCTCCCCTGAAGCGAACCTTTGCTTTTCTGCACCACCACATCACATGTGCATATCCTCCCCCACCCCCCAAGCATCTGCTGGCCTCCCCTCCCCCCCCCGTCTACCTCCACCGCATTCGGTCGTTATCTCTCTAGCTTACAGTAATCTGTCTGGTTCCCGAAGTCCGCGTGGTGACGCCCCTTCCCTCCCTCCCTCCCTCCCTCGTGTGTGGTTCGTCTTTCCCTCCCTCCCTCCCCCCCCTCCTGGCCATATGTGGCCCCGACCCACGCACTGTTTTTTGTTTTCTGTTTTTGTTTTTGTTTCTTATTATTACTTCCCATTTTTGCTTTCACCCTGTTTTGCCTTCACCCTGTTCTGCCGGCGTATACGCCGTCCAACGCGTCATCCCGTCCCATGCGTCATCCCGTCCGATGCGTCACTAGGTCATCTCGTACGACACCACCTGTGTCGTCCTACGCCGCCTTTGCAATTCTTTATTACTTCCTGACTTTTCTTCCATTTTCATATAGTTTCTTTAGGTTTTCTCATTCCAGCTTCCCCGGTCAGCAAGTTTTATACGCCTTTTCAGCAGCATCTGCATGAGTTTTTGTTTTTTTCGTTCGCTGCTCACGAATTTGCCACCTCTCTGCCTCGCATGGC